ATCAGCTTTTCCCCTAATCAGACTGTTAACTTGTAAGGTTAGATTCCTCAGAAATCTATGATTTTTATATGTATGAGTAAAATATTGCCTTTCTCCTCTCCTTATGTCTTTTGAATAGTTTACTTTAATGCAATGTCCTTTTTGTACAGATTCAGAAAGACAGTTAATATTATGCTTTTGTAATTTCGGATTTAATTGGCTTTGAATATTATTCACTCCCGGGCATCTGCTTTCTCGACTTAAGCCTCAGTTGCCCTTGGTTCCTAACACCCCAAAAGCAGGGTCCCGATGAGGGACTGAATGGACCCATGGCAAGTGATGAGCTACCGTGGCATCAAAATGGGCCAGGCCAAAGTGCCACGATTCTTAACTATAAGTTAAGAATTTGATCACAGACAAATGCTGTCATGATCCAAAAGTAACAACGAGACTAAGACCATGCTAGGAATAGGAAAGACTATCTGGCCTGAGCACTGAAGTTTGAGATCAAGATGGCCCTAGGAGGGCAATTCTATAAGTTTAAGGTATTTCTTACTGTATCCATACAAAATGATTTATGTTATATATGCTTATATGTTTATTGGACAAGGAGAGGAGAAACACCCAGGAGATTCCGCTTTAGGGTGGATTGATCTGATAATGAGAATCTGTCCTAGGAGTGGATTTCCCAAGGGAAAGAATTCTACCCCTATTGATTGTGATCACACCTATGTGTAAACATAAACCTCTCATGCTTGGGGATTTAACTGGACACTAAGAGTGGGCTGGGGGATCAGAATCCAGACTCCAGAGAGGGAGGATGAAGGGGGATTGAGAAGGAGAATGAAGTATCTTGGGGGAGGAAGAAGCAGGAGAAGAGGCAGAGGACAGAGACAGGAGTGGATGGAGAGAGGACTGGAATAAACTGCAGCTGACATCAACCAGCCTGGCCCTCATTCCTTCCTTTGCCTGTCCATCGCCATCGACTTCCCCAGGGTGGGGGAACTGGTGTGAGACTACCGAACGCTGGTGGCGGGAGAGACAGAGCAACTGCTGCTGCTGTCTTTTTTGAGTTTACACACATGGGTTCAAGAATAGTGAGAATTATATATGAAGATTTATGTAATCTCATTTATTTCATGCTTCAGACCAAGTAGACATCAACTATAATGAAAATACAGTTTTCCAAGTGGACAGTAGTCAAACCAAGTCAGCAGTTACCCAGACTTAAGACTTACTTAGGAACAAAAGGGGCAAGTGTAGAAGTTACAGAAGCAGGAGACAAAGCTGATAGCTCGGAGAATAAGGCTCTTGCCTTGCATGCAGTTGGCCCAGATTTGATCTCTGGCATTTCATATAATCCTCCAAGCCCTGCTAAGAGCAATGTGTAGAGACAGGAGTTAAGTCCTGAGCACCACTGGGTATAGTCCAAAAATAATCAAAAAAAGAAGTCACAGAAGCAAAGGCTACCACAAAGGCTACCAAAGTTAAATTTTCATCAGTATATTATTATTTGCTGGGGTTTGTGGATATAGGCTAAGAATATATATAAAGTTCTTAGTAAACAAGAACTTTATTAGTCTACTATGAATGTAGTTTATAGCAGTAAAAGAAGAGTACAAATAGGCAAGCATCAGATAAAAATATAAACAGTATATTTTTATAGGATACTTTAAAAAAGAAAATAACCAGTGAGCAATATGATTTGAAGTGGAAATCTATATAAGCATATAAAGGTGGTTAGTCTATTCTTAGGAGAACTGAGATAAAATAATGTAATACATTTAGAAAAAAAGTACATTGGATGAGCTATTAGGGAGAGGTTGTCAAGACATAAAGAAGTGCAGACACTGTAGAATCTCTCTTATTGGTTCAATTTCAAATAAAATGAGGATGGCAACATATTTAAAATAGTTTAATTAAAAATAATATTTCAGAAAAGTTCAAATTGAGCAACATATTTTTTTTGGATAATGACACCATAAAAGATGAACATGCAGAAAAAATTAAATAAAGAAAATAACTGTTAGAAGCCAAGAGTCATGTGGTTTCACTAGTACCATCTTAAGATACACTCTGGTGAGGAAAGTGTCAGGAAAAAGGATGCAAGAAACTGTAATCTAGAAAAGGTCTATTCCTCTGCCTCAAGGGTCAATCCCTCGAGCACCTTAGTGACTGTTCCAGAATACGCTTTATTGGCATAAGACAGCAAGCTGGAGGATGGTCACCTTATATACTCAAAGTAACGGTCTTGCTGTGTAGTCACAAGAGGACACTCATTTATTTTTTAATTTTGTCAGAGAGAAAAAAAACCCGGAAGCACAGTTATGCTAGTACTTCTCTAGAGACCTTGTTGCTTTAATGGTGGTTTTCCTTATTGGTCTACATTAGTACCAGTGTAATGCAAGTATAATAAATTCTCAGAGGTCACAACACCAAACTTCATGCCAAGGCATCCTTATGAACAGGCTAACTCCTTCAAAGTGACTGTTTCAAACATATGATTTGTTCTAGGCTTAGGTAAGATCCTAGCAATCCCCAACTGAATAGTTTTACAGATCCTGGTCAATTTAGAGACTTGATATTTTTGTTTTCTCTTTCTATTTTTGTCTTTTCCCCAGCACATTTAATTAACTCCTTTTCTTATTTGAGTGTCTATACGTAAAAGTAAGCCTAGGGAACATACCCTCTGCCTCAATACCTCAATAAAATCAAGGATTACATTGTCTAGCTCTTTAGATGCATGCTCTCTCTGTCTCTCTGCCTCTCTGCCACTCTGTCTCTCTGTCTCTGTCTCTCTCTCTGTTTTGTTTCTGGTGGGTTGCACCATTTACATATCTTGTAAGTAATAAAACTATGTTTTTTCTTCTACAATCTTAATGATTTAAAGGGGCAGTCTACTTATAATATCAATAGACAGAGATTGGCATGAAGACTCATGCCAAAGCATGGACACATATACATACACACATACACACACAAATAGTGCATTTCCAAATTTCCCTCTCTCTTTTACAAGAGACACACCTTCTTAGATAGCTTAAGGGTAGCAGGAAGTAAAATTTAGAGTTTATAAGTACAATGGAAAGGGATGAGTCTGAAGGAGGTGGGAGAGTGTCCTGGTAGTTGGAGAATAATGTTATCAATCATTAAGTAAGGAAAAAGTGGCTATTAAAAGAGATGTCATCAACTTAAATGGGAATTGTCAAGAGAAGATGGTAGGAAAATGGAAATGGACTGTCCTCATGAGTTCTCACTGGAAACAGAGACTAAATTGGGGTCGAAAGAGTTATGTTTGACCTAACTTTGTAATATGTTCTGGAAAAGATATAAGTGCTTTATGATAAGATTAAGGGGAAAAATAGACATCTCTAGAGAATGCAAACCATGCATATTACGTGGCTGAGATGGTAGAACAGAAACACAGGAACAGGGGAAGAAATTATAGGAGAACTATTTGGAGGGAGCTGCAAGATCTGAGAGAGATGGTTGCATGTAATACGACTCAAAGTCACCAGGCTAGTGATTCTAGACACCTGGGGAAAAGAAAGAGAAGAATTTCTGGGAATTACAAGAGCATGTGCTGGATGGAGAGGCAAGAAGTGCTGAGTCATCAGTATTTAGGTATTGACTGAAATGAAAGAAATAACCAGATAGAAATGTATGAGAAAAACATAGTTCCCTTGTTTTCATGTTGCTGTTGAAAATACCAACAGGTAATAATATATATTAAAACATTCAAGGTAGTATGTTTTAAAATGTTACTGTTTGATATTTATAAGATTGTTTACTAGGTAAATATACATATTCATTCAACTAAAATTATGTCTCTTTAGACCTTTGTCCATGGAATGTTTATATTTTTCTGTAAAAGAGTTAGCAGAAGATATTAGTACAAGATTCAGAAAGATGATGATGAGAACAGAATACAGTTCTATTGCCTGCCTTAAAATTCCAATATAATTTTTCTTCTACAAAATTCAATATGAGATGTTGATATTTAAGAACAGTTTCACAGCATAGAGGAATATATTTAAAATGTATACTGATATACCTCTAATGTAATCTTTTATCTGTATAGAATATTGTTATTTTTAACTAGAAAATAATGTATCTTGGCATAATATTGTCTTTTCCAGACTTTTTTGGTGCAATACTGTAAATCCTTAAGGCAAATTATCTATGATAAAATTACATACACACATTACCAAGTCATTGCTGATATTAAGATGAAGATAAGGGGTGCTTATACTGATGAAAATTAAAATGCATTAAAAACTCTCATTCATAATAATTGTCATAATTCTATGACCTCGTTTTTGTTTTGCAGGACCATCTATGTAAAATTAAACCTTCTGTCTCTATCTATTCCATCTTGATAATTTCTACCTTTTCCAACAACTTAGAAAACAAGCTCAGAGAAGAGTTGGATGAGAAGATTCATGGAAATAATTCAGAGAAAATATTTTTTATGAAACCAAAGAAATATTTAATGTTACTGAAGAGATATAATACATACGAAGGTAAATCTGTAACAGTTTCTAAATTAGAAAGATACATCTAAACTATAACATATTAAGAAGGCTCATGTCTTCTTATACATCTGCTTATTCATTTGATCTCTGGATAAGCTGAAATTTTCACTGAAATATGTGTAACTTACAATGGACACAACCAGCACAATGTCTTTTGTCCATTGGGGCATTAATTTTGCCAAGATCATCATGGGGAAAAACCAAAGTGTCATATTCAAAGGCCTAAAATGCAGCATTATTACAGAATTTCATTTTGCCAATTATGTCTCTGTACACAAATTGTTTAAATCAATAAAATGTGTTTTAATATTTATACTTATTTCCTTGTTCTAAATGTAAAGCATCAGTGGGGCAGAACCAAGCATCAGCATAACCTGAGGGCAATCTGGTGGCCATATATGATTATGACATTTTTCTCTCCACTTTTTAGGGTCCTTTTTGGCTTTCTTTCCCACTCCCTAAAACTTTCTGTTTGATACCTCTTACCGACATTTATTTTGACAATTTTTTTCTGAGAGTCCATCCTCATCTTCTCCCATTATGTCCACGGCTGAAAATATCAGTGCAATGAGAATGGCAAAGCAGCAGACCAGGGCAAAGATCACTATACACTTCTGCTGGGACTACAAGAGAGAAAGAAAGAAATTTCCATTTAGGACTCAAGATTTGATAACTTTACATAATTTCACATAAAATCCTTTCAGAAATACATTTATTACCGCCAGAGAAAGACTACTCCCTGTGTGAAAAATGCCTGACCTGAGCCTTGCAAGATAGCAGTGGGGTTAAGGGACAGGAATCCAGTCCCATCATTGCCACTGCATGCCTTGTCAACAGGGTTAGTTCTGGATTTCTTCACAAATTTCTGGAATGGCCCTATTCTAGAATAGGTACCCATACTGTACAGCCCAAGCATCAGTGGAACCTAGCTTTGACCCATAGGCTGCATATCCCTGGGAGCCTAATGCTCTAATTACTGCCTGGGAGTCCACCATCCCCAATTTCTAACACTCATGTGTATTCTTCAATGCTCCCATTCAATATATTAGAATAGGCTAAACAACAAAAGGCCATTCCAAGACTTGTGAATGAGTTTGTGCCCTTCTTTGTATCAAAAGCATTTTAGAGAACAGAGGGGAATGCCCTGCCACAGAGGCAGGGTGGGGCGGGGGGGATGGGGGGGTGGGAGGGATACTGGGATCCATGGTGGTGGGAAATGGACACTGGTGGAGGGATGGGTATTTGATCATTGTATAATTGAAACCCAAGCACAAAATTTTTAAGTCTACAACTGTACTTCATGGTGTCTCACTAATAAAAATTTTAAAAATAAAGCATTTTAGAAACATCACACAATGCTGCACACACGCAAAAAGGAAATTATAACTGTTCTTTATTTCCTGTTGCTACCACTAATATCTATGCAAATTGTACTGCAACTCTATATTCTGTTTTTTCCCATTCTCCTTTCTTGAAGATAATTCATGTAATGGTGTTAGAAGAGATATTCCTGGGTGGTTAGTATGTGATCTGCATCTAAATTGGATTTATCAGATGTAATGATCATTATTACGTAGCTGAATGAGTTTGTTAAGACTTTGACGACAACCATAACAAATATACATGCTCTTGATAATATTTCCAAATAGAAATACAAACTGAAGATCCAGGTAAATTATCTCACATATGTCCTTGTTTTGTACTTAAAGATGTCCCTATTCTGTGGGTGGGGGAGGATTTCCCTAAAACACCATAAAATTAGAGAAGAGGACAAATCATTTTGTCTGATTTTTCCTTTGATAGACAGGACTGGCTGTTCATTCCCAGAGAGGTGCTGGGTTTCAGAGTGATGCTGAGAGGTGCTGGGTTTCAGAGTGATGCTGTAACATCTGTCTGATCAATGTTTCCAAAGGCTTTTCATATGACTTCCCATGGAACATATGAGAGGAAGTGCATTGCAATATTGCCTTTTTTTGTACTCTGGAGACATTGGATCCTCTGCCTGCTCCCAATTCAATAGACAGTCTTGCCTGACCTATGTCTCTGTTGTCCCAAAATTCCAAACGGGATCAGACCACCATCTCCTTCGTGCAAAATTCTATTTCACATTGCAGTGAGAAAGGGCTGCAAAGTTTAATTTTAAGAAGAGAACTCCCAGAACGACCACCAACTGGGAGCTCTTTGGCACTACTGAGGCAACATGGGAAGATACCGTCATTGACAACATTGACAAGTAATACAGTCGACTGGTTTAGCACCTCTATGACTGTGCAAAGAACGCTGAGAGAGATAGCCACAATAAGATGCCTGTCTTCAAAAACTCTCAAGCTCATTCATTCACCAACGTGGCTTGGCGCAAGCCTCAGGCAACCACACAGGAATGTTCAAGCTTGCAAAGCAGGGCAGAGAAGAGATAAAGGAAGATCTCAAAGAGAGAAGAGTAGCAGTGCAGGTAGATGCGGTAGAAGCTGGAAAAAGCATTCGCAACACCTGCCGGTTGTTCGCCAAATACAAGACCAAGATGACTGCCCTCCGCCGTCCTGATGGATCTATCACATCTTTCAGAAGGGCAATGGAGAATATTATCCATGACTTCTCCTCGGATCTCTTAAATAGCCACGTCCACCTGCCCACATACCAAATTCCACAGGATGGATATTTTGTTCCCAAAGTTCTCCCTTCCAAAATCTGACACGCTATTTCTTTGGCAAAGAAGCGAACAGCACCCAGCCCAGACAAGGTCAGACCCAAACACCTGAAGAACCTGCCATAAGTACTCATCAATACACTGGCTCGGCTCTTCACACGCTACCTGTCTGAATGCAAGGTTCCGTCCCAATGGAAAACTAGCAGGACAGTACTACTGTACAAGAAGGGAGACATCCACGATATTGGTAACTATCACCCAATCTGTTCTGTTGTCTGTCAACTACAAGCTGTTCACTCGAGTCATCTTGAATAGTATTTGAAGAACACTAGATGAAGGACAACCATGAGAGCAAGCCAGTTTCTGAAAAGGATTTAGCACAATCGACCACATCCACACGATAACCAAGCTCATTGAGGTTTCTCGGGAGTTCAAGATGCCGCTCTGTCTAATGTTCATTGATTTAAAGAAGGCCTTTGATTCTGTGGAGACTGAAGTGGTCATCGAGGCCCTAGCCAAATAGGGCATTCAAAGTCAGTACATCAGGATCTTCTGTGAGCTAAATTGCAGATTCACTACCAGGATCTCACCATTTTACCATCAAGAGCGGTGATCATTGACATCAAGAGAGGGGTTCGACAGGGTGATACCATTTCACAGAAACTCTTCATGCAATGACTGGAATGGGAAGGAGTGGGAGTAAAGAGTCGGTTGGCAACTACACCACCTCCGCTTCACTGATGACATCATTCTTATAACACCAAACATCAGCCATGAGACACAAATGCTGGCTGACTTCCACTGTAAGTGTGGAAAGGTCGGACTTCAGCTGAATCTCACCAAGATAATGTTTATGAGAAACAGTCTTGTTCCTGACATTCCATTCACTCTCAACAGGAAGAACATCTCCGAATGCAACAGTTATGTGTACCTAGGTCGAGAAGTCAACATGACGAATGACCTGGCACCTGAGTTGCACAGGAGGAAAAGAGAGGCTTGGAATGTCTTCAAGAACATCAAAGAAATAGCTAAGGGATGAAGAACCTCTGGCTCTGGGCACGTCTCTTCGATTCCACTGTTCTTCCTGCATTAATATACACCTCAGAAACCTGGGCCCTATGAAAACAGGATGAGAATGGTATTTGGGTTTCCCAAAGAGGAATTGAAAATGCTATGCCTGGAATATCACACTGCACTCAAATGAGAGAAAGAATTCGGAGTTCCCAACCTCCATTGATGGTCAAGAATCAGGGATGCTGTCTCATTTGCCAAGGTGTTGAAAATCAGATGGGCTGGACATGTAATGAGATTTGGAGACGACCACTGGACTAGAGCTGTTACTAACTGGATTCCACAGGACATCAAAAGATCATGTGGCCAGCCACCTATGATATAATCAGACTTCTTCATCAAGACCCTGGTGAAGGTTTGAAGTTGTTCATGTTCCTAGAACGACAGATGCCATTGGGCTAAATTAGCACGCGACAGGGAAAAATGGAGATATTACTGGCACCCACTCGAGCAAATCAATGAGTAATGGGATGTCAAGTGATGCAGTGATCAGGACAGGACTGGATATTAAATTTCTGTTTGTTTTTTTATGAGTTATTTCCAAAAATGCAAGGGTGATCTTTGACCAGACAACCAGTACTTCCTTACTAATGAGATGATTATAACCCTGTACACACACACACACACACACACACACACACACACACACACACAACTTAGACTTAATTTACACCCACTGGCTTTGCCTCCTTGAGGAACTTTTCTTCCTTTATGTCCACCGCCAATGGTTTCCAAACAACCAAGGAACCTTCCATAAGTCGGAATCCAGCTTGTTAATGGCAATTTCAGATTAGAGAAAGCTGACATCAAAGCATAATGTTGATGCTGTAACCAGGCACTCTCAGCACAAAAGTTGTTTCTGTTTAGTATATTCTAAACTTCCTGCAAGTCTCATATCCCAGATGAGAGTAGACCCTTGGTTCCTGTCCCATCCTGTTTGTCAATATGTTCATTACTTCCACAGTCAAAGTGGGAAAAGTTCAAAATAAGATAACCCCCTGGCCATGGTTCCTTTGTCATGGCTTGTGCTTTTTTTCTATCTCAAAAAACCTACCACAAATAAAAAATAATGCAAGAAAGAAAGAAATTGTATAGTCATAATACAAAGAAAAAAAGTGAAAATCATATTGGAATAGTTCTGAGATGGATTCACACAAGGTATTTCTCCAAAGATAGAATTGTGAGCTTAATGAAAATTGATATGCCCTTCAAATTTAACTAATGCAAATCTTGTAGATTTATAAAAAGCAGCTGGAGCTAAGCAAAAAAAAATATGCAACTCTCTGTTGGAGGTAGGGATAAATTCCTAACCACATATGGCAAATACATATGTGCAACACTGCAGATTATTTCTTATATTCATCCTTTCCATTCATCACCTGTTCCTCACTAGGAGTATTTTTGGTTTTGGGGCCAAACCCATGGCTCTGCACTCAACAGTTGGCTCTGTATTCATGTAACTCTTGATAGGGTTCAGGAGACAATACGGGGAGCCAGGAATTGAATCCAGGTCAGCTGCATGCATGAAAAGGGCCTACTTTCACTCCAGCTCCAGTAGGTCTATTTTTTAAGAAACAGCATAGTGTCTGTATTGCAAACCATGGCGCCCAAAAGTAGAGAAAGAGTATGGGGAATAATGTCTGTCATGGAGGCAGGGGAGGACGGGGAAGGTGGGTATACTGGAGAGATTGATGGTGGGGAATGTGCACTGGTGGAGGGATGGGTGTTTGATCATTGTGTGATTGTAACCCAAACATGAAAGCTTGTAACTATTTCACTGTGATTCAATAAAATTAAAATAAGGTTTTAAAAAAAGAAAAAAGAATCAGGATAATTAAGTGGTTGAGGGCTCAGTTTTTGGAAATCATTTTCCTGCTTCTTACTAGCTGTGTAAGAAACAAGTTA